TGAATTTTAAAAGTCCAAAAAAAAGAAGAGATGGCTGTAATTATTTCATAAATTAAAATTTATTTTATTATTCACTTTTACATGTGCATCCTCAAATAGTTAATCGATCCTCTTTTTTTTTTTTTCATTCTGCCTTACTTTTTTTTTGAAAGAAAAGGTTCTCCTCATATGAGACTTTGATACTATAATTCAGGCAACTAGAATGATATTAATCAGTATCTTTGCCTTTACTGTTATTCTGCTACACATCCGATTATCAACCTAGATTTAGAGTCAGCATCATCTCCTAAAGTATGTTAATACTCCTAACCAGTTGAGCACATCAAGTGTTGTTATATAAATTGTTGCCCCTCAGGAGCATCTTATCTCAGTAATTTTCCAGGGCATGGAAAGATACTCTTGCAAGAAGCATTTCAAAAGATATTCCTAGCATGAATGAACGCACACATACAAACACACACATTTTTTAGGTCTTTGTTATTTACCAATTTCTGTTTCTTATATGTTTGAGTTCTAAATGAAATTTTAAAAATAGAATTTGAAATAAAACAGTTGACTAAGTCAATTTGACTTTTTCACATGTAAAGATTTGTTGTATGTACTTTCTTATTTAATCTAATAAATGTCTCTTGTTATTCTCCCATAGCTTAAAGAGATGGTATGGCTCATTAAAAACGATACTTTAAAACAATTAAAACATTTTAAAATTTTATTATTTCATAGCAAAAATGTTTATTTGCCCTATAAACATTCATTAGGATATTATTTTCATTTCTCTATTACTTGCAAATGATTTAATGTACTTTTTAAAGTTTTTTTTAACACTGTCAATAAAAGATACACATTTTGAGTAGCATAGGTGCACAAAAGTATGAGTGATTACACAATACATATATTTGTAATCCTCAATAAAATACAATTAAACAAAATGAATACATTCGATTTTCAGAAAAGACATTGCACATTTCTACATAGAAAACATATGGAAGCATATAACTACAAAACAAAAACTGCTACAATCCTCCTCCCCATACTTAACCATATCAATAACTTTTGTCTTTTTAAATAGTTTAGGCTATAAAGATTTTGTGCATTTACATTGCCAAGATAAAATATATTCTTTTTAATAACTCTGAAAAATTTTTCATAGCCTTCAATATAGTACTATATAATTTTCCAGAAGTATATACTTCTTAGATGACTGCAAGACTACTCAGTCTTTCAGTTTTCACTAGTAAAAGGAACATAAAAAAAATTAATAGGCAAGTATATAGTTCCCTGGGCATGTCTCTGATTATTTTTTTTAAAGAATGATTTATTTATTTTTAAATTTATTCATTCATTTACTTTCATTTGATCAGAGAAATACAGACACACAGAGAAAAGGAAAGTGAGAAAGCAAGCCACCAGTTCTGCGATTTGAAGAGTGGTCGGCCATGTTGAAGTGTCCAGCGCCTTAACCACCACACAACCTGCTGTCTCTGATTATTTCTATTGGGCAAATTTCTAATTAGTATTGCTAAGTTATTGGAATTACTTTTTTTAAACTTTTGATGCATTTTGCCAAATTGCTATTCTGAGATTTTGTACTATTTTAGTCACACCAATATCGTATGCAACTTTTTATTTTATAGTTTAATGTGAATTTTTCTACCCATCAGATATTATAAAGTCCATCAAGCTTGCTTTTCTTTTCGATTTACTATATAGCATGCAGATATTTTAAGTTGTGAATTGAATGACAAAGTCTTGTCATCTAAAACTTTTTCCTCAGGAATCTGAACATCCAGGAAGTACTTAGTTACTCCCCTCTCCCCAAAAAGTTTTATAAGCATAGTTTAGTCTAGAAAGATTATATCCCTTACTTATTGGAATGTTACCTATGTTGGATTTTATTTTGAAGGTTTTTTCTGCCATAGGTCAGCTGCACTTGCTGTAGAGAGACAGAGGGAAAGTAAAAAAGCACCCCCTGGGGGGATGGCCATGCTGCAGTCTCTCTCCTCCATCTTCCTTTCAGGATTTTGGGCATGCAGGCACGCATGCCTGGCATGAATTTCCAGCTGAAAGGTCAATACCATGATTAGACTGCAGGAATTCAGCACCTTAACTACCACACCATTTTTGGCCCCCTAAGTTGGATTTATTTTCATTTATTATTATTATTTTACTTTGAATTTTAATTGTTTTTAGATTTTTGTCATATGGCATGCACACTTGCCAGAGAGAGAGAGAGAGACAGAGAGAGGGAAAGTGAGAAATCAGCCCTCAGAAGGATGACCACACAACAACCCCATCTCCATTCTCCTCTTGGGATTTTGGCAAGCATGCGCACACTCCAAGTGTGATTTTCAGGCTACTGAGTCTGGGACTTGAACTGCAGTTGGCCATGTGAAGACTAGCACCTTAACCACTACACCACCTGCTGGCTCCTTTACATTTATTACTGTACTCTTATTTGGTTACCAAGGGCACGATTTAGGAAAAGAAAATTGAAAGCAAGGTGAGGTAGCTACAATAGACAAATGTATTAGTTAGAAAAGCCTAAAACTATTACAACAAAGATATTTCCAAAAATGAGAGTACTAAAAGACAGAGAAAGTTATAGTAATCATAGATAAGTGTTCCAGATTTGATGGAAAGCCTTCTTTGTACCATGCTGCTATAATTCTATTATGAGATAGAAGGAGGAAATGGGAAAATTAAGACTCTGTACCTCAACAAGCAACTGTAGTATTAGTGACTGTACCAAGAGAAGAAATAGAACTTTTGGAAACAAAAATATTGAAGTCACACAATGAATGAGCAAATCATCCTTTGTCAGGTCTGCGATTTGATTTTATCCTACCTACAAGCTTAGAAATTTAGCTGCTACCATTTCATAGAGTCTGGATTCTGGCAGAAAACATGGTATTCCTAGGTCAGAGATCTAAAATGCTTTTATTATTCACAGCACAGTAGGTGGTATGAACATCATATTAGCATCAGTTCCCCTTGTATTAAAGTCTCAGAGGTGATACCATATGGCTCAGATGGCTGCTGCTCACATAGCACATTTGTATGATAGCTGGGAAATTTTTAACTGTGTGATTTCCTTTTTTTTTTTTTTTTTTTAAAGCAAGCGGTAAGCAAGTAAGAAAGCCTGCTCTGTGTTTTCCAGGGAGACATCCATAAGGGTTGCTTGTTGCAAAAGCAAGTCTGAGAAATGGCCCAATGAACAATGGTCAGGGCCTTGCATTCTTGGCATACCAGACAAGAGATATCAGAATATAAGAGACCCATGGAAGAGCTGTTTCTTCTAATACCCATCACTCAGTAGCCTCTGAGGACAGTTGTGTGTTTAATGAGAGAAATGAATTAATTTAAAGAATGTGGGAAGTGCTTTCAGCATGAAGTAAATTCTTCATGTTCTTTTCTTAACATTTCAAATATTCTGTCAGCAGATACCTTCCAAAATTACTGGTTTGTGATCCACCTTTGGAGAGGTTGTAGAGCCATTTGCAAAACAGAAATGATACATGGATTGATTGGGCAGAGTGCTGGTCATTGAAAACTGATTTGTAGTATTTTGTTTCCTCATAGCATGTTCTGGGTTGATAAATGAACAAAAAAGGGCATTTTCCCAAAGAGATAATTGTTTTATATTACACTAGCAGTTCATGTGACTTAAAAGACATACTTTTTGGGATAAAATACTCCTGGAAGTGGGTTGGTTTTACTGATTCTTTTTTAAAAATATAATTACTTGCATGACATCAACACTTGGCTATGATCAACTTTAATATGTGAGAAGGATAACGAAGAAGAATTATAATTTATTTATGTTAGACATTCCTTTTTACCACTTGTGTGCTCCCTCTCTCATGAATGGTGATTTATTCATTTTTTTGGCATTTAAAGGAAGTGCTGGAAGGCCTGTTCAGAACAGGAAGTATCATAAGCTTTGTGTTCAGCTTTTGGCTCTGCCACGAGGTGATTTTGGGATTCTTGGCAACTCACTTAATCTCACTTAATATTTGGGTCATAAAGATTTTCTGGGAATCAAGTGAGATGTGAATGTGAAAGTCCTTTCCAAACTATAAAGCATTATACAAATATTTAATTACCAGGAATTATGAGTACTCGAGCTTTTCCCTATTGAAGGAGACTGAGAAGTATGTTCTCTTTCAACACTGAGGGCATAATGTAGCAACAAATCTGAATATTTGTGATCATACTCTTGTTTGCTTTTACAAACTTTACTAAAAAAGATGATTTTGTAAAAACACTACTATTCAATCACTTGGAAGCTCTGTTTATTTTTCTGGATAAATTCAAAATCCTTTATTCAGCACTGTAAAATGGTGAAATCCACAAAATTTTATTTGCCATTTTATTGTTATTTATTAATGAAAACAATTATGATACTATCGGCAAGTGTAGGAATGGATGGAAACATATTTGTTTTTTTATATGGTGAAATAGTACTGGGAATAGGATATAAAAGACGTTGAGGGATGAAAAGTAATTTGTGTGTGTGTGTACCGAGTATTAATAAAACTCATTTTTCTCCTTTAGTTCTTTGAAAGCTAGTTATAGTTAACTACACAAAGGAAAACAAAGAGATGGTGATATTGTCACTTACCCCCATTTTTAATGCAATAGGACTTTTTCCTTCTGTTGGATGATTTATTGACAGCAACTTCCAAATAATATTCATGTCTTTTAAGTATGTAATATATGTTTAATTAACCCTGTAATGGCTGATTTGTAATGGGAAAAATTGTCAGAGAAATATAAGCTATCTAAGCCAAAAGTGACCTTAAGGATCATGTACTAACAACAGGTGATGAAACAAAATCTGTGGAATTTAAATCTGTTCTTTAAGGCCACATATGTAGATGGTGGTGTAGATTCTAGAGACCATTTCTCCTTTCCTTGGTAGCAGTGTTCATACATTATTATGTGTTATCTTAGAATTTTGAAAGTATTTTTAAAGCAATAACATCTCGTTCTCTTCTTAGGTAGTTATTACTAGTAAAAGTGGAGAGATCTTATATCGTATTTCACCGTGGGCGAAGTATGTGACTCGAGAAGGTGACAATGTGAATTATGATTGGATACAATGGGATCCAGAACACTTATATAAAGTGAGCACAACAAAACTTTTAGTAAATGCCTATTTATATATTTCTAGGAAAATTAATTTTTCTTTTACAAATTTTATAATAATGTTCAATGTCTCCCTTCATTGCTGGTTTCATGTTTTACATAGTGCTGAACTTCCCCCATGGCCAACTGTGGTTTGAGTCATGGACCTAGTGACTTGAAAATCATGCTAGGTGTATGGGTATGTGTATGCATGTCCAAAATCCTGAGAGGAGAATAGAAGAGAAGGAATCGGAGCATGGCCATCCCCTCTGAGGAGTGATTTCTCACTTTCTCTCTCTCTGTCTCTTTTGAGTGCATGTTCCCTATGACAAAAAAAACAAAACAAAATAAAAAAAATGAACAAACTTAATTAATTGGTAAGGTATAAGTCACTACATGATCCTTTTAAAACAGATCCATTTATAAGATCTCAAAAGTAACTTTTCAAAAACAATTTTGTGAATGTAGCTAATGCCTAATATGTGTGAAAATAGTTCCAAGTTTTGACTGAGTTTATTCAACATTTAATTTAACATGTTTGATCAGCTGGTATTCATAACTGAATTTCTGGTTTAATTCTATGTGCAAATTTTATATTCTGCAGTTTAAGCATTCCAGACCAAAGAAACCAAAAAGTCTAAGAATCTATGAATCTCATGTGGGAATTTCCTCCCATGAAGGAAAAGTAGCTTCTTATAAACATTTTACATGCAATGTACTACCAAGAATCAAAGACCTTGGTAAGTAATAACTGTGATTTTTATTCAGATAAAATTTTAATGAGTCTGTTCTCTTATTAGAAAAGCTAATTACAACTGTCTCTTTTTTTTGTGTTAGAAGATTAAATATGTAATAGAAATGCATTTTACTTTAGACTTCTCAAATTGCCCTGTAATAGTGATAGCATAGAAAAGAGAAATGGAATAAGATAGAGCATAGGAATTCAAGATATTATTCCAATTTCAATTTTAAGTAATGTGAACTGATGGCTTCCAAAATTGTAGATAAATATATAAGCATAATTGCTTTTCTACAGATGAGAACTTTTATCAATTTAAGTGGTCATTGATTATAGTCTGTTCA